AGACAGTCCAGCATCTTAAGCCTTTATCAGCAACATTGGTCTTAGGGTTTGTCTTGGACTCCCTCATTTTCTGTCTCCATTTGTTTCCAATGTCAATGCTTGTTTAGTGATTCTGTCTGCTTCAGTTGTATATCAACACTGCTGGCAAATTTATGGGATGTATGTCCAAGCTGCCAGGTGGTTGGAGGATTAGGGAACAGAGTTTTAATGAGAGTTTGCCCTTGAGCAAGACAAAAGTTCTATGACACCTCTTGTGTAGTTAGTTAGTTGGGACATGTCCATAGGGGCTCAGATCCTTCACTCAGTGAGAACTCAGCGTCTGCTGGCTTATAGTACCAGTTCTATGTTGATTAACAAGTCCTCTGATGTGTCTGGCATGCATCTCGTTTTTTTTGCTGTGCTGATCTCAACTCCCAAGTATATGATTCTGGCAAGTGATGTCTATGACACCTCTGTTAGATGAAAATCCCTTGTCTTACTTCAAATTACAAACAAGATTTCCAAACTGAGAATTGAATAACCGCACAACCAGCTCCTCAATATTATTTATAAAAGTTATTCAAGAATTATCTTTAGGAGTTATTTTAGAAATATGGATTCTACCTTCTGCGTTACTTACCACACATTGAACAGGCGATTACTGAAACTGGCAGAAACTGTGACAATAACAATGAACAAAAAGTAGGATGTGATAAATATCAGATTTCCAGAGTAACCATATGGCTATTTAGATTAATGTGACTAGAGAAGACATTTTGATTTGTATATTTCACTGGAAATGATTAATTTGTTGTTGTTATTGTGTTGCTCACTATTTGTTGATAACTAAATAGTAATGTACACGATGAGACACAACAAAATATAACAAGTAATAAATTGTGCATTGTATTGTTTGTTTCTGCATTGTTTAAATTCACTGCAGAAAACCATTGTTTTGAATATCCTTTGCTTTTTTTTTTTAGGACATAGAAAAACCAACCTCAGCTGTTAGAGGTTTTACTGGGCAATGTTACGTTCATGAGCTTACAATAGCTTTTTAAATATTGACTGTCATACCACTACCAACATCAACACAAAGCTAGTTGCTGCCAAATTATATCAATATTATGAATCTATGATCACTACCCTTAAGCTAAGCAAGTGATACTAAACTTTTACTCATATATCAGTTAAAATACTTAAAAAACTGAAAACATAAAGACTCATTTTACAATGTAAACTTTACTGTATGTCTGAAAATAAAATGTAAATTCTTCACATTGCATTATACAGCTTAATTAAAAGATCCTTAAAATCTATGTTGTATTCATGGAAGACTAACAGCTGAATGTGAATATACAGATATAAGTCAGTTTCACATTTTTCTTCTTCTTCTTCTTCTTGTTCACACCAGCTGTAAACTTCAGCGCAAAGTTCTGGTTGTTCGTCCATCTCTGGACTTTAGTCTTGTTCAGAACCTGAGTGTTGCATACACATCCGTTTTACAGATCCTACTTATTTTCATACAGATTGTTGGTTCCTTGTCTCTTAGGCAGATGCACTCCAACTTTGAAGAAACACCCAAGTAGTTGATTTGTACAACATGCTTTTGTGTAGGCAGTGGGTCTATTCTTGTTTTCCTCATAATGGGGCCCTGGAACCCACAAGGGAAGTTACACTTTCAAATCTCACACACTTTCTACAGCTATTAAATATAAATAGTTGAAATGTCCTGGGAAGTAAAGACAGCCAGCATTATGTTAATACATCACTGAGTGCTGAGTGGTCCATGCAAATCTAAGTCTAGCATCATATGCCTGCTGCGCCTCTGGCATAAAATGGGTTCTTTAGTCCTTTCATTAAAGATAGTTATAACAGGGGCACAGCAGCTAGATGCTTACCTGCCAGCCTGAAGGTGCTAAGTTCAAATCTGCACCAAAGCAGATTATTACAAAATGACAAACTAGCTGAATCTGGGTACCTGCTAATGTTCTGGGAAATAAAGATGGTCAACACGACCCTGACCACTTTTTCATCGAGGGTGGATCAATATATATACAGATACTGGTCAAGCCTCATTTGCCCATCAATAGGGCTACTTATTTCACATTTACATAGATAGTAAGGTGGTCCTATTAAAGAATGAGCACCCCTAGCGTTTTATTTAAGGCAGTGCCCCTGATAAATCATCATTGACAACAACTGCCCCGGACCAGGTACTCCAAAATATTTCTTCTTATTCTTCACATTCACCATCTGTAAACTTCAGGGGGAAGTTCTGGTTGTCCGTCTAGCTCTGGTTCCAGAACCTGAGTATTGCATGTACATCCACTTTACGGATTTGATTTATCTTTGTGCAGATTGTTGGTTCCTTGCCTCTCAGGCAAATGAAGTCCAACTTGGAAGGACCCCCCTACCTCCACCCCCTACCTCCTCTTCGTTAGTCGACTTTTATGGCATGCTCGTTGGGGAGGCAATGGGTCTTTTCTTGTTCTCCCTAGAAGAGGGGTCCTGGAACCCACCCGGGGACTCCAAAATATTAAATTAAGCTTATAATGCAACAAACACTCTTTATGTATAAATATGGAATACATTCAGTTCATCATCATCATCAATGGCTATTGTCATTCCATGTCGATGCAGAAGCTCTTTAATGTCATCAATCAATGTTTTCTTAGGGCGGCCTCTTGCTTTCATGTGTAGCGCCTGTGTTTGTAGTTGTTTTGGGCTGCATTTTTACTAAATGACCAAACCATTTGATCTTCTGTTTCTCAATGAATCTGCTGCATGGTGTTGTACCTACAGTCTGTCTGATAATATCATTTCTAACTTTGCCTCAGATGGTTAAGTTGACAGCTTTTCTTAGGCATCTCATTTCACAGGTGGTAATTTTATGTAGGTTAGTCTTTGATAATGTCTACGTTTGGCACTGGTAGCACAGTGTTAGAATGAATATGCTGTTTATAATCTTTTTCTTGGTGCTCATACTTATGTTTGGATGTCTTAATAATGGTGTCAGGTGGTATATAAGTTCACTGGCTCGTTAGCATCTTGTTTCTATTTCTCAATCTGTTTTTTCTTCCCCTGAGAATATACTTCCTAGATATTTAAATTCTTTAACTTGCTTCAGACAGCTGCTTTAGACAAGCTACCATTCAACCTGATATGTAGTGGACTAGGAATTCTGCCGACCTGCATGATTTCAGTTTTAGTAGTATTTATTTTCATGTTTTTTTCTCTGCATGTTGAATTTAGCCTGTTTAAATAGTTTTGCATTTAGCTGAAGTAGTCAAATCAACAGTTGAGATCTAAGCCAGTTGTTCTCAACCTTCCTAATGCCACGACCTTTGAATGTTGTGGCGACCCCCAGCCATAAACCGTTTTTGTTGCTACTTCACAACTTCATTCAATATGTGTTTTCCAACGGTCTTAGGTAAAACTTGTGAAAAGGGTCAGTCAACCCACAAAAAGGTCATGACCCACAGGCTGAGAAACGCTGATCTAAGCTTATTCTGAGCTGCCTGTCAGCCCCCATGAGTGAGAGCAGTAAAGTGTAAAGGGAAACTATCTAACAAAAGACACTTTATCTTTGTGTTGTCAGCGCATGATATAAATACTATAGTGTTGAGTACCAACCTAGGGTTGCCATACATCCATCATTTTGTGAATACTCAGATATACTCATGAAATGAGGATGCATCAGCAAAAAAAAAAGTAACTATGGCAACCATAACTAGGGCTTTCTTTCAAATGGAACTCAATGGTATGCACTTTTTGGCACCATCTGGTGGTGCTACTGTAACAGAAACTTTGTGGTGAGTATAGGAACCTTTCATTTTTTTTAAACAGAATAAGCCCTGTTACCATATAAGAATGGCAGCTTTCTATGATTTCAGTATTAAAGAGTATGTTTATTTGTTATTTGCCCTCACTTCTTTTGTCTCCCTGTATAAATGTCATATATTAATTTTTTTTCTTGTATTCAAACCAATGTTGTCGTTTTGTAATTTAAAATAATGCCTACACAAACAATACACAGCACAAATTACTGTCTGGCATATTTCACTGTAGCTCCTTAGGTGCATTACTTACTTACTTATTTAGTCACACCTCTTCTATCTTGGGGTGTAGAGGTTTGCCAGAGAGATAGCCAGACATCTCTATCAGCAGTTTTAGGTGCATTACTACAGAGTATAAATATTGCTTTGTAAGGTAGCAAGGTAGTCAGGTATTGAGAGATAATGTGATTTGCATATTTTAGTGGAAAAGATTCATGTTTTGAGTTTTGTTAAATGTTGATATAAATTCTGTAGTAGTGCACCTGATCAGACAAGATAAAATCTGTTAATAAATGAGCTGTGCCCTGTAATGCTTGTGCTAAGATTATTTGATACCTTATTGTTCTTCTGAATGTATTATACTAACAGACTGACTTTCTACCCCACCAGGACATCACACAAGCGACAAACACCCGATGACACAATGTGGGTGAGGATCACCGTGGAGAGGTCCCAGAAACCGAGTTCAGCCTCAAGGCCATATTTATGGCCAGGCTATATTGCGGCCCCTGGCAAGAGCCAGAGCAGGGCCTCAAATAAAGAAAAATTTCGTCCTTAAAAGGACACAAAAAATATAACGTGTATTATACTTGACTGACTGACTGACTTTATACCCCACCAGGACATCACACAAGCGATAAACACCCGATGACACAAAGTGCCACCATGTGGATGAGGATCACCGTGGAGAGGTCCCAGAAACCGCGTTCAGACATTTGGCCATATGTATGGCCTGCCTATATTGCGGCCCCTGGCAGAAGCCAGAGTAGGGCTTCAAATGACGAAAAATTTCGTCCTTGAAAATAATTAATTTCCTTATACTGCAGACATCATAAATATATAAATTATTTAATGCATTGCAAATTCAGCAATTAATAATTAAAACCTTAAATTCTACATTTTTGTATAATGTGTATAATAAAACAACTATACATCAGCACATTGTTTATTTCCTATTTACCCTTATTTTTCCCCTTTTCCTTTCCCTTTTCCTTTTCCTTTACCCTTTCCCTTACCTTTTCCCTTTTTACCTCCCTTCTTTTTCTTTTTCTTCTTGTTTAGGGCTTTGCGAACTTTGTAAGATCTCCAGAAGGCTTGGATGGTAGTAGCTGCCTTGACCAGACGATTCAGCTCCCGCTGTGCCATCTCCTTTTTCTCTCTGGCAACACGTCTCTCTTCCATGATGGTCAGATATTCTTTTTCCAGTGCAGCAAACTTCTCCTCCAGTTCCATCAGTTGTTTCTTTTCTTCAGTGTAAACGATATCAATTTCTTCATATTCATCCTGTAGGGATAAAAGAAACAGTGAGGGAATAATAAAAACAGCCTACTTAATGCACCTACTTCTTGACATGAGTGAGGACGCTTCTTATGTGGCAGGTGGCATGGTGTGTTGTTGTTTACAGCTAGGCTGCAATACCTCTGCATTTTAGCCCAACATATCTGATTTCAGCTAACCCATGATTGTAGCTAACCCATGATTAGTCAGTTATGTTATGCAATGGGACTTTTCTTCTTCTTCTTTGTTCACCGGCTGTAAGCTCCGGCAGAAAGTTCTGGTTGTTCGCCCATTTGGACTTTGGCGTTGTGCCAGGGTCTGAGTTTTGCATCTACATCCATTTTACTGGCTTATGTGTGCAGTTAGTTGTTCCTTGTCCCTCAGGCAGATGCACTTTGACCTCGAAGGAGGTTCCCAATTAGTCGACTCCTATGACATGCTTGTTGGGTAGACAGTGGGTCTATTCTTTTTTTCCCTCAAAATGGGGCACTGAAGCCTGCACAGAAGAAAATGGTGTGGAGATAAGACTCTAGCTAACTGTTAAGCAACGCAACACATGAGACAATCTAAGTTAGGGGTAAATTAAGAACAAGTAATCTGGTCTCTGGGTAGTAAGATCGGATGCCCGTGTGTATTGTTGTGCACTTAAAAAATCCCTTGGCAGTTGGAAATAAAAAAGAATAGCCTAACGGCGCTGCTCATGCAAAACTTGGAGTTAAAAATCTATCCAAAGTATTTCAGGATCCTCGCCAGTGCTACAGAGTTAGTGCATTGTGCTGAGATTCTTTGGAATCAGGCTTGAGTTAGAAGTAGAATGAAGCACTTATAGGTTACTACCCTTGTGCCATGATGATGATTTGTTGACTAAACTAAGATGAATGTTTGGAAGGGCAGAATGTAAGACTGGTCTGTGTGTCCCTTACAACCCTATAAGAAGTTCATTTTTTTATTCTTTATGGCATTCCCAGCATTGATACCAGCCTGATGCAATCACAGACTTGATGGACAGGTCATGTCGTCCCCTCGCTTGACTATCAGCTCCCAGAAATAATCTTGTATGGTGAGATACAGGAAGGTATGTGCTCTCACCCTTATTGTCCTAGATCTTCCATGCCCATTTTTGGCTTACTAGTCACCTCCGGACTCACAGAAAATCAACTATCGTTTCAGGACGAATGAAAGAAAGCGTGGTCCCCATCACTTGTGATGGACGAACAACAAAATGGTCATATATTAGTGTGTATGCCTGAAGTGTGAATTACTTTAACTCTTTGAGTCCCAAGGAACACATCATAGTTCATAGATTCCTAACTAGAAGCCCAATGAACGCAAGATGCACTGATTTTACGACTTTCTTGACTACCCCTTGGGCCTATGATGCTAAACCCCCTGGGACTCAAAGAGTTAACTGCAATGCTCTCATTTTGTAAATGTTTTTATAAAAAAAGTTACATTTTTATAACATTATACACAGTTACCTGTCTTTCTCCAAGATCTTGATCATATTTCTGAATCCAATTCTCAACTTCATTTTCAACTTTGTACTTTTTCTGAAAAGATGGAAATTTGAGACAACAAAAAATTAGCTGGACAGCACAATTTACCCATATATATAGGAAGTGGAGAAAATGAGGGACAGAGATAGAGAAAAAATATGGAACTTATAATGAACTTACCCACATGGTGAGAGTTCTTTACCCTCCCATTCATGCCGCGGCCAGTCACACGGCCTGCCCTATGTTGTGGGAGTGTTATGCGATATATAATGTTTGTGGGAGGTTGTCATGAGTCACTTTGAGGCACCATAGGCGCCTTTGTTCAAGTGAGCAGTACTGCAGGGAAAGCGCAGAAAGGGTGACTGTTTATGAGTATCAAAACTGAGATGTATTCGTATTTCTGTGCTCCTAGGCGGTGCGCCCCCCTCACAGAAAAAGAAGTCACTGACAAAGAGCACAGAAAAACAAAAACATCCCAGTTTCAATATTCACGAACCGGTGGGCAAGTAGGACAATGTGGAAATAATCATGCAAGTGAACGATGAGAGCACGAAAAAAAGAGAGAACAGTTAAACCATTGTCGTGGCATGAATGGGAGGGGAAGGAACTAGCACATGCAGGCAAGTTCATGATAAGTACCAAAAGTATGCATAGAAAATACACATACTTTTTCCATGTCTGTTACACTACTTTACTCAAAGCTTATAGTTCAGCTTAAATTACCCGGTGCTCAGTAACCATAGCAGTGAGCTGTGATTCATGCATATCAATCTTTATTACACTACTTTACTCACAGTTCTCAAGCATATAATATCCATGACTCTACTTTATTTACATGGCTGTAACACTACTTTACTAAAACAATCTTCGTGTGTTCAGTAACCACAGCAATGAACTGTATTTCATGAATATCAGTCAATATCCGTCAAACTACTTTACTCACAGTTCTTAAGCATATCAGTATCTTTTACACTACTTTACCCATGGCTGTTACACAGCCTTACTCATGTCTGTTACACAACCTTACTCATGGCTGGAACATTACTTTACTCATGTCTATTACATTACTTTACTCATGTCTGTTACACTACTTTACTTATGTCTGTTTGAGGTTTTGAACAAATGATCAACATCATGGCACACGGTAGTAACCCATAAGTGCTCTGTTCTTCTTCTAACTCAAGCCTGAGTCCGAAGAAGCTCAGAACAGTGCACAGGATCCGTAGCACCAGGGAGGATCCTGAAATACTTTCGGTAGATTTTTAACTCAAAATTTTTTGCCTGGGCAGCGCCGTTAGGCTACTCTTTTCGATTTCCAACCACCGAGGGATTTCTTTATGTGCGCAACAAAGCACATGGGCCCCTGATCTCACTACCCAGGGACCAGGGGGGATTACTAGAAGTCCAAGTCCATGTGAAAAACTCCCAGCCCTTATTGGGTATTGAACCCGGAACCTCTAGCACTTGAGACGGACACTATGCCCTCTTACTTATGTCTGTTACACTACTTTACTCATGTCTGTTACACTACTCTACTCATGGCTGCTACACTACTTTACTCACCTCTGTTACACTACTTTACTCACCTTTGTTACACTACTTTACTCATGCCTTTTACACTACTTTACTCATGCCTGTTACATTACTTTATTCATATCTCTTACACTACTTTACTCATGCCTGTTATATTACTTTACTCATGCCTGTTACACTACTTTACTCATGCCTGTTACATTACTTTATTCATGCCTGTTACACTACTTTACTCATGCCTATTGCATAACTTTATTCATGCCTGTTACACTACTTTACTCATGCCTGTTACATTACTTTATTCATGCCTGTTACACTACTTTACTCATGCCTGTTACATAACTTTATTCATGCCTGTTACACTACTTTACTCATGCCTGTTATATTACTTTACTCATGCCTGTTACAATACTTTACTCATGCCTGTTAAATTACTTTATTAATGCCTGTTACACTACTTTACCCATGCCTGTTATATTACTTTACTCATGCCTGTTACACTACTTTACTCATGCCTGTTACATTACTTTATTCATGCCTGTTACACTACTTTACTCATGCCTGTTATATTACTTTACTCATGCCTGTTACACTACTTTACTCATGCCTGTTACATAACTTTATTCATGCCTGTTACACTACTTTACTCATGCCTGTTATATTACTTTACTCATGCCTGTTACAGTACTTTACTCATGCCTGTTAAATTACTTTATTAATGCCTGTTCCACTACTTTACCCATGCCTGTTATATTACTTTTCTCATGCCTGTTACAATACTTTATTCTTGCCTGTTAAATTACTTTATTCATGCCTGTTACACTACTTTACCCATGCCTGTTATATTACTTTACTCATGCCTGTTACACTACTTTACTCATGCCTGTTACATTACTTTATTCATGCCTGTTACACTACTTTACTCATGCCTGTTAAATTACTTTATTAATGCCTGTTACACTACTTTACCCATGCCTGTTATATTACTTTACTCATGCCTGTTACAATACTTTATTTATGCCTGTTAAATTACTTTATTCATGCCTGTTACACTACTTTACCTATGCCTGTTATATTACTTTACTCTTGCCTGTTACACTACTTTACTTATGCCTGTTACATTACTTTATTCATGCCTGTTACACTACTTTACTCATGCCTGTTATATTACTTTACTCATGCCTGTTACATTACTTTATTCATGCCTGTTACACTACTTTACTCAATCCTGTTATATTACTTTACTCATGCCTGTTACACTACTTTACTCATCCCTGTTACATTACTTTATTCATGCCTGTTACACTACTTTACTCATATCTGTTCAACTATTTTTCTCATGTGGATTACACTACTTTACTCACGTCGATTACATTTCTTTACTCATAGCCTTAGTTCTGCTTTGATCTTCCTGAGATAAAACATTATTGTGCAGATTAAACAAGCTTTATTTTATAATATTAACCCCTATTGATTATGCTACTTCACTCACAGCTCTTAATTCTGCTTCAACCTCCCTGTGCTCAGTAATCATAGCATTGAGCTGTGTTTCGAGTGCATCAATCTCAGACTGGAGCTTCTGGATTCGTTGATCACTGTTCTTGGAATCGGACGTCTCTTGTTTTTCAGCCTCGGCTCTTGTACGCCGCAGACTCTCATCTGAGAATTTTTCAATCTGATGAAGGTCAGTCTGGAGTCGCCTGATAACTTCATTGTTCTGGCGAATCTGCCAAATTAATAGACACCTTAATTAATAAAAGCCAAACAACATAATGTATGCAGATATATAAAAGTCCAAGGTGAAGGTGGTGCTTAAGCAGTTATTCCAGTTGAGTTTAGAGGTTTTAGGACTCAACAATATTACCTACACGTACTGAAATACAGCTTATTTCGCAAATGTTTTGTGGTTTGCCAGTGAAAATGTGCTGTACAGCTATATAGTTAAACAGGGTTTCTGTGATTTGCAAATACAGATCTGGAAGGGACATACTTAAAAAAAAAAAAAAACAGATTTTAAAAAGATATTAGGACTTGACATAATATACTGAGGTCAGGTCAGAGGGGTCTCTGTGGTGAAGTGGTCAAGCTGTATGCCTCATGCTATAAAAGTCATGGGTTCACTTTACGGCGGCACCATTTAGTTCATAAGTGCAACTTTTAGCTATGAAGGTCATGCTCTGTAAGACGCTCTCGGCAGGCAGTTAGCTGTTCTAGAGAGGCTGCGGCATATGGGATAAAAATCAGCAAAATGAGTCGATCCTCTCACCTTTAGCTTTTACCTTTACTGAAGTTAGTAATGGATCCTTTTCACACCAGTGGTGCATTCGGCATATGATGCTCGACACATATTTTTTTTAGGTCAAAGGGCACTCGGTGCTGTCAAAATCATGTTGGCCATCTTTACTTCCCAGGACATGGTCTGGTACCCATTTTAAATGGCCAAGATCAATTTTTTTTTTAATTAAAAAAAAAAAATTCAGGTTAAACCCAAAACCTATAGGCTAGTAGGCGAGCATCTAGCCACTTTGACACTATCACACCGACACTATTCTAAGCGATGACATACAAGCATGCTGCCATACACAAAAAAGCATGACATGGTGAAGGCTCTAGCCTTGCTTTATTGTGCAATAATAATCAAATATTATTATTGCTGCATAGTTAAACAAGGTTTAAACCAATTAGGGCCCACTGCCCCTAGAAAAGTATTAGTGGGGGGGGGAGTGACGGCTCAATAGGGCTGAAACTTTGTTAAAATATAAAATAATTATAATTATATTAATTGTTATTGTTATTATTATCATCATTATTATTATTATGTTATGAAATCAAAGAGGGTGTATTTGAAATAATATGAAATGTATCTGCAGAAGCTTACAAACAGAGCGCCCATTTATGATGATGGAAGAGCTGAGGGAATTAGGGGGGGGGGGGGCCTCAAGGGACCTGAGCACCCAGCTTCTGGCACCAAGGATGACATACAGGATGTTGTGACCTGTTATCTTCCTCATTACCTTTGCTTCTCAAAAAAAAAAAAAAAGGTCAATTGTCTAGTACTTATTTTTATGGGCAGCCACCTTGTTAAAGCAGCTAGATGCTCACCTGTGGATCAAAAGATCATGAGCTCAAATCACATGAGGCAAGATTTTTTCAAACATGATCTTGGTTCCCAGGTAAATACAGACTTAAATGGGTATTAGGTAAAATCCTGTGAAGTTAAGGCGGCCGGAGTGATGTGACCACATCACCTACTGTTCTCATATGCTCTATGCCCCACTGACAGAAAGATTAGAGAACATATCAACCTCATGGCACAGGGGTAGTAACCCATAAGTGATCCGTTCTTCTTCTAACTAAAGTCTGAGTCCAAAGAAGCTCACCTTAGTGCACAGGCTCTGTTGCACTGACGAGGATCCTGAAATACTTTGGGTAGATTTTTAACTCAATATTTTGCCCGGGCAGCGTCATAAGCCTATTCTTTTTTTATTTCCAACTGCCAAGGAATTTTTTACGTGCGCAACAATGCACACGGGTGTCTGATCTCATTACCCAGAGACCAGGGGGAATTACTGAAGTCCAATTCCACACGAAAAATTCCCAGCCAAGTTGAATGGGAGTAGACCCTGAGGCTGACCAAGAAGTCTGTGCAATGTTAATATAAAGCAAACCTTCAAACACTTGGAGTCACCATGTGAAAAGAGAAGGCTGATCCCACAGATGGTAGAGGCAAGTGATATAACTGCAGCAATGAAGCTGAAAGACTGGAACTGCTAAAGAAGAAAAAAAGAAGAAAACTCACCGCTTCATCTCTGGCATCTGTTGCCTCTTTGAGTTCTTTCTCAAGTTTCTCAATAACAACCTTATTGTGGCGCTCTCGTCGTGATATCTCTTCCAGATAGGCAGCTTGTTCCTGTTCCTCTTCTGGTGTAGAGAGTAGCTTCTGCATCAGAATATCACGAAGCTCCATCATGTTCTGTATGATACTCTGACCTCCCTCATTACGCATTCCCTCTTCATCACTGTCAATTATACTCATGGCTGTTGGATTTAATGTGAAAAGACGCAGAATATTCTTGCATGAGTGGCTCACCTGTAAGCAAATATACCACAACAAATATAAGGTTATGTCAACCAATCAGGTACAACATTATCATTAACATCTTCTTCTTCTTCAGCATTGCGAGCCCTTGAGGTTCATTGCTGCAGATATCACCTGCCTCCACCTATTCGTTGTAATAAAAAACATACATGGGTAGGCCTATGATGCTATGATGGTAACCTCTGTCAGTTCCAAAAAGCTGTTACTTTAACTCCTTCTACCCTAAGAATGGTAGGGCTGTGGCTAGATGCTTGCCTGCAGATCTAAAGTTTATGGATTCAGGTTCTGATGGCACTTATTTAAAAAAAAAAAAAAGACCTATAGTCAACCCAGCCGTAAATGGGTATCAGGTAAAGTCCTGGGAAGTAAAGATGGCTGTTGGATGTTGCCCACATCCCCCACTCAATACAAATTAGTCTAAAAAATACACATCTAGACCTTTATGCCTTATAAGCCTGAAGGCATGAAAAGAAGTCCTTTGCCCCAAAGAGTTGAGCTTAAAATCAATAAATACTTTCACTTAAAGTAATTAACTTTCACTTAAAGTAATTACAGACACTGTGGGGGCAGAAACAGTTAAACTAATAATTCAGACACAAGAGCTTAATATAACATGTATCTGTGGTAGAAGACAGCAAGGGCCTTGTATTATCTTTTTGAATGACCAAGAAACATGTGGTGCATCATTCATTCCTTAGGTCAGTTAGTCCAGTGTGGTAATTTAATGAAGAACACGCTGTAAACCTTTCTGGGTTATCATTGGGACATACAAGGGTACCACGGTATCAGGGCCGTGGGGTCTTCAATATTTTTTCTTTAACTCTTTGAGTCCCAGGGGTTTAGCATCACAGGCCCAGTGGGCAGTAAAGAAAGGAATAAAATCAGCGCATCATGCGTTCATTGGGCTTCTAGGTAGGAACTATGAACGTATGATGCATTTCTTGGGACTCAAAGAGTTAAAACAATTGTATTTTGATTTTGTTGCTTATGCCACCCCATTGAGGTACCACCTGATTTGGCCACCTCTCTGTATCAAAGCACAGCATGACCCTGCTCAGTGGACATAGTTAATCTGCTACTTATCCAAGGTCATATACCAGACAGTACGTACACTAAACAAATTAATTTGTTCCATAATGTGTATAAGAAAATAAGGAGAAAGCACCTCACTGCTATCCCAGAAACTTATCATGGCAGCAAAAAAAGAAACCTAAAGATCTGATGGTGAGGCACCCAGGTCAGGCAGATAAAAAATACGAATTGGGGAAGAGAATGATGACAGAGCAAGTATGGTAAAAAAAAAAAATTGTCTCAGAAAATGAAACATTTTCAAAAGAACAGTAGCTGGGAGAATGGTACCAAGAAATGAAAAAAAAAAAGCAGAGGTTGACCAGCATGAAGATGGGCACAGGATATAAGAGACAACTTGGGTAGGAAAGTGCATGAGACAGGAAGGAAAGTTGGGTAGAGATCTGGTTTCTTTCAGGCAGCAGGCTATGATGAAAGCTACTTTCTAAAAAGGACCTGCTACATGTTGATGATGATGATATGCAAAAGGAGAATCCAGTGAATTTTTTAGTCAAACAAGATCACAAATGAAGAGTTGAGGAGGAAAACGGTTTGTGTTATCAAAGGATAAGGATGGAGATGACCTGGATAGAATGAAATGTGCAGAATGAATTGTGACACTCTAACAAGGAGAGCTCTCCTATGGCTGGCCGATGGAAAAAGAGATGTGGACAGCTTAACTCTTTGAGTCCCAGGGAACGTATCACACGCTAATTGGTTACAACCCAGAGACCTGATCGACATGTGACAAGTAAAGGTTTTTAATTTACCACTGACCATTAATAAAACATGGACCGCTCAATTTCAACTTCCTTTTGAGTTCTTTGTGTCTGATATCAGGCGTGCTCATTTGAAAACACGGTTTAAAAGCTGAAAATATAGTATATTTCTGAGGTTTACTCAGTTACTAAGTGTTTGTTTGAAAACAATATGGCCACCAAGCAGTATTCTACATGCATGCCAACATGATTTACGGCTTTAGAAGCCTCAAATTTAAATAAAGCACATGTTTATTAGATTTATCCAGTTAGATAGATACAGTTGTGAAGTAGACTGTTTCAGTCACTTATAGAGTCAAACTTTGATGAGGGATAGGTCTAATGTGTACCTCACGTGAAGGGTACAACAACAAAAAGTCAGCTGACACAAACAGAAAAATGCTAGTGAAAAGGCGATTTTCTTCTGCATCAGTTAGTTCTAGCGCTATTCAACTTATTATTTAGGAACATGGCTAGAAAATTACAGGCAAAAAGAGTGTTACATAAACTTTATTTTGTGTGAAGTTACTAACTTTTTTGAAAAGTCAGTTTTCTTTATCAAATAATGGTGCTCTGTTATGATGCTTTAGAAGATTCTCTGGAACATTATCGAATGCACAGATTAATTTTAAATTTTACTTATACATTACTAAGTGGTTCATATTCATTTGTGATTAAGTTTAGATATATTTTAGCGAGTTTTCCTAGAGTGGCATGGTGGTAAGTGGAAATTTTTATAGTTCATGTTACTAATTTCTGTAAACATAGCGTCTGTTTATTTACTAATATTTAACTACTAACGCAATTATTTGTTGTAGCAGTAGTCTATTATTATTCCCCAACAATCCCTGGTCACTTCGATGTATTAAATGTATATGTTGCGTGGGAGTTGAATTAGGATTGTCTGTTTTAATGTGTTACACTTGTGAAATTAAACAATTGCATTACCACACCTTGGGCCTGGATGATTAACCCTCTGGGATTCAAAGAGTTAAGGAAACATGATGAAATACAGCAGAAAGGAAAATTAAGGAATATAAAATGATATAGGATATCATAGACAGAAAAGCAACAGATCATTGTCAATAGAGATCACTTGTGAATGCCTTATGTGTCAACAGTGAAATATATGCATAAATATTTTGTTTATATAATATTAATAATTTAACTCTTTGAGTTCCAGGGGGTTTAGCATCACAGGCCCAAGGGGTAGTCAAGAGAGAGAGTAATATCGGCGCATCAGGCGTTCATTGGGCCTCTAGGTAGGAATCTATAAACATATGATGCGTTCCTTGGGACTCAAAGAGTTAATTTCATATTTATAATAATTCTTATCAAAATACTAAAGATTTGACTTACTTGTTGAGCAACAAGGCCTAGATTCCGCATTACCTCTTGAATGCGAGGTTCATAGTCAGTTAGGGATTCATGTGACTCAGTGTCCTCTTTAATCATCTGGCTAATATTTTCAGCAACATTCTCTTGTGAGGGTTGGACGTTTGTACCTTGTGGTTGATCATCTGTATCATTTGGCTCCCCATTTTCTTCATTAGGACTGTTCAACTCAGTTGTGAGAGGTGGTTCATTAACTTCACCTTTTTTCTTCTCCTCTTCATCAGGATGCTTTATTTCTTCTGTTTCTTTGATTTCTTCTCCATTTTCACCATCTGCTGTATCCTCTTCTTCTCTTTCTCCATCTTCATTTTCTTCTTCTTCATCATCATCGTCAAAGTCAAAATCATTATCGTCAGAAAAGAAATCATATACAGGTTTTTTATTTGTTTCTTCAAGCTGTTCAAGAGCAGCCCTGACATTAGCATTTTTTTTGGCCTCCAACTCCTCAATCTGTTTAGCTCTGCTCTGTAACAGCACATCTAATTGGTTTCTTATTTCTTGATAAGTTCCTTGAATTCTGAAATGATGTCTAATCATTTCTGCCAAATCTATCCCTAAAGACACTCTAAATCTGTCCATGTTTTTCAACTATGTATGGTAAAGTAGTAACTATCTTTACTCGCTTTATAGCATCATCAAATACCGACATAATTCGTTGGGATTCAATTGTTGCCAATTTTTTACGTGTAGGTTCCAAACCTCTATTTGGGTCTAGCTTAATGTTTCTAATTCTAAGTGCGCCATGAAGCTTTGCTGCAAATGGCTGATGTGTTGTAGCTTGAATTACTGGCTCGGGATTAACAGTCTCAATTACAGTCCGTGATCTGGATGCCATTTTTTGTTTTAATTAAGTTAAGCTGTACAGATTTTATTTTTAAATGAATATCTCAGTGAGTTCAGTTAGTATAATTTAAAATAGCTTATAACCCATACATATAAAGACTTGCCCATTTTGCATTTAATGTTTAGAGTTTCTTTTTTTTTATATACTTTTAAAAATACTTAGAAGAATATACTATGTGCGATCAGCCTGTAAATGAAGCCTGAAACACATACATTTGATAAATGAACATTTTGTGTACGCTGCTTATTCACACATATTATACACACAACAATCCACTAACAACAAATAGTCTGTTATTAATCTATAAATTGTTTCATATAGATAGGACATTTTGAACGTCCTGATGTGTTAAACATTAATGTACCAGTGACTATGTTCAAAGTTAGCTGAATGTTTAAATAAAATAACATAAACTGTAACATTAAATAATTTATGATGCGGTAACTAATAGCGTTGCTAAGGACTACACGGAAATGACCTCAAGGTGACATCAAAGGTGAAGGTTTGTTGTTTCTCATTTGCGGAAAATGGAGGGGTTCGGGGACAGTCCTCTCCTAGAAAGGCACCCCCGACCCAGAACCGTGAGCATAAGTACGTAACATTTTCAGGGTAACCTCAAGACGTATGAATATCATATACCGAATACGCAATGGAGATTTAAAGCATTCCAATACACTCTAACTTCACCAACTAACTGTAACTCTTCCTATCCTGGAGTTACGTTCATGCAAAAATAATAATAATAACGGGTTTCTGCAAATGTCGATACATATTTGAATTCTGATGAGTTAAATTAACAATAGACAGGGTTAATTACAGTGACTGCAAAGACCGAAGCATTTAAAGCTTTAGCTTGACACGTAGCGTTAAAGTCTGAATTCCTCGGGACTAACGGAGTTAAAATTGATTCACTGACGGTTGCTTGCAGAAAAAAACATTCAGTGCCAGCTGTAACCGGTGTCGTGTCGATGTCCTATCTATACACTCCATACCCCATAGCTAATTATCATTAAATTCAACCGCAACTAAAGCTGCGCATCATAAATGGAGCTGCCAGACGGACAGAGGCACAGGAATTCTGCAGTCAACGGTCCATATTATGGATCCTTTGTAGATCTCTTGAACGGTAACACCAGTGGGACAGTTCAGCTCTTAGATTTAACTGCTAATACTAACGGTACTTATTAAGCTTCTCACCCATAACATATTGATTGGAGTATCAGTGTGGTATTGCTTTTTTTTCCCTCTGCATTTTTTTTTTCTTCTAGCTATACAGCTTTGCTTTTGCTAATTTTGCACGCTGACTTTTCATTTTCTTTTTATATTTACTTATTATCATCAAGCTTCTAGTCTGTAATTCAGTAGAATGTATAACATAATGATATCCTTTTTTTAATTCAACAGTGCTGTTTAGAATATAGTGGGCATCTTTTAATTAGTTCCCCAATTCTTTATTGTTAGTTTATGAAGTAGACTTTAGTGTATTATTTTACTATTCTGAAAATAAATCAGTTTGATGTTTGATTAACTTATAAATTAGTCTATGCCATTTGGTAGTAGTAATCATGTCTGTCAGCAGTTTTTTGCCGTGTATAATGTCATTCACAGAAAATGAAGAATAATCTGTGCAGTCTTCCTTTGTTAATTGAGGTGAGAAAGAGAATTCTGAACAGCAGTTTTTATCCGGTCCTGATATACAGAAGCGAATCATGAAAAATTTTCAGATTAGTGAAACGTTAGTAATTTTAAGTGGCGCAGATGTGGTTTGATAGTCAAATTGATGAGAACACACACTGTACAGATAAAATGAGTAATGAAGATATCTTGAAAGAAACTGTCTCAGGAAGAGAACTGATAGCCCATGTTAGAGGGAGACAATCTGCATTCTTTGGTCATGTCTTGAGAAGGAGAAAACAAGTACATGATGACAGTGGAAAAGTTGGAGGGGAAAATAGCAATAGGGGGACTGAAAAAGAATGTGCTGGACAGTTTTACATTATAACATGGAAGATCATCAGTGTCAGAACTGACAAAATACACCGGACAGAAAATGATGGTCAGACATGACTACCAGTGCCACACAGCATGGACTAAGCAGAAGAATGTCATTCATTTCTAAAACAAGTCTTACATGCCATGATGCCAAAGTGCTTTACATCTAAACTGTTTGTTTCAATTTGCCTCTCTTCCCCTTTAACTGTCCAGTTGTCCCAGCATACTTTGAATTGTTCCTTGTGAGAACATTCTGAAAGAATGTGGATTGTGGACGTCAGATACCTGTTAATTTTCCTTCTACCCCTGTCTGTTTTATTAATTTCTGCATTTCTGTATGCTCATTCATCTCATTCTCTTATCTATTTATCTCTATGTCTGTCTGTCTCACTATCTTATTGGATAAGTATGTCACTTGGTCCATATGTCTGTCTTATATCTATGTCAGTCAATCTGCCACCTTGTCTATCTGTCTCTTTGACTGTCTGTGAGTCTGTCGTCTGCCTGCCTGTCTTCTCTGTAACTATGTCTGTCCAGATTTATGCCTGTCCCTCTGTCTATCCATCTATCTTTCCACCTTCATATTTATTGCATATGTGTCTGTCTATCTACTGACCTCCATACCCATTTCTCAGCCTAACTATTTGTGACCTCCTTCTGAACCAGCCCCGTGTGAGTCACAGGAAGTAGATATTATCTTCCAAGATTGTAGGGTGACAGTGAAACTGATAAACTTGTAGCAGGACACATCAATCTAATCACTGGAGTAGACATGTAGCATTGACGTTTTCAGTTTCATAAATTGCTGAGATATTTTTAATGAAGTTGTAAATTATTTATTGTGGTGTATTTTAAACTGATCACAGTGATTATTTTTATTTTTGTGTAGATTATGTAATGGATTATTTGTAATGGGTCATTAACTCTTTGAGTCCCAAGGAACGTATCATACGTTCATAGATTCCTACCTAGAGGCCCAATGAATGCATGATGCCCCGATTTTACGTCTCTTTTGATTACCCCTTGGGTCTGTGAGGCTAAGCCCTCTGGGACTTAAAGAGTTTAGTGATTATGAGTTAGAAGATATGTAGTAAGTAAAAGACCTTTTTCACACTACTGGCAGGGCTTGTTGTTGTTGTTGTTGTTGCTGGTATGCAATACAGGTACCTGTGTTTGGGCATCACTTTTTCAGTTTTGTTTTAAAAATAAAGAGACACTGTGTGATGTGTCTACTTCTTCTTTCTTCTTTTCTTTACTCCTGGAATGCCTTGCAGTATTAGGGCAGGAACAGATCTCTGGAACAGGTCTTCTGTTCACTTTATGTATAGTACTTATCAGTACTTATCAGTGTCTGATATTTCTACACTTCATATTCTGTGTTGTCGACCTCTAGCTCTGTTACCGCTGTATCTGTATAACATTGCTGTCTAGTGCCCTGTCTGTTGCCACTCTTGTGACATGGCCAAATAATATGATCTGTTGCCCACTGATAAAGTTGATTATTGGTATTCAGAGGGGTGAGTTCTGGCACCTTTTTAGACACTTTGTTGTGGGTACCGGCACCTCTTATACTAGATGAAAAGCTCTTGTGGTAGGCCTCTATTTTTATATAGTCAAGTCAGCACTTCATGGTTGACGTGGTCAGCTTCTTCTTCTTCTTCTGCGTTCTACATCAGTCATGCTAAACATTGAGTCCCGTCTGGGTCACAAATAGGATTGCGCATTTAAGGTCGCCACCGGTCCTCCATAGCTTCTCTTGCAATGTGGCTCCCTTGGGCCAGATCCACAGTATTTGCTGGGAGAGGTTAGGGCAGTGCTGCAGTATGTGCTCGGGAGTCTGTCTTTCTGCTCCACAATCACAGGCAGCAGATTCTTTTATGCCTATCCTGTACAGGTGTGCTTGAAGACCACAGTGTCCTGTCCGAAGTCTAAAAATTGATGTTTGTTCTTTACTATTGAGTATGTTTATGCTGTCACTCTCTGGTCTGTAATCTCCATTCTGCCTTCTCCACTCCCGCTTAAAAGACTGCTTTAGCGCTGTTTTGGTTTCCTTGTAGCTGTGTGGTGGATGAGGTTGTGGAAGATTACTCCCAGCTTTTGCCAACTCATCTGCTCTCTCATTTCCTTGAATACCACAGTGTGCTGGTATCCACTGCAAGACCAGTTCTGCTTCCTTGGAGAGTAAGCCAATGTTGGTCCTTAGATCTGAAATTAGTTTGTCTTGTTTTTTGCTTGATAGTGCTTGGAGAACAGACAATGAGTCACTAAGTATAACAATTTTGTGCTCTCTGTGTTCTTGAGTGATGAAATGTTGGACTGCAGAAAGGAGGGCTGTTGCCTCAGCTCTGGAGTTAGTGCAGATGTCACTTCTGGTAGAAAGAGAGTTTCTGCTCTACTGCTAGGGGGTTTAATGTATATTCCACAATTCCCCTTTCTGACTGCATCTGTAGCAGAGCCGTCAGTGAAAACCTGAGTCCAAGTGGTGTTTGGATACTTCTCATCAAGCATAGCAAGAGCCAGGGTTCTCTGTTGTGTGTCCGTCTGGGCATCTTTTGAAGTGATCCCTGGTACCTTTAGGACTACATTTGCCTTCTCTGGCTTGCTTGTCCATGGTTCTGACCTAAGTTTTTCGAACAGTGCAACATCTCTTTCAAGCAGATCTTGGTGCTGTCTGTACAGTTCTCTAGCAAGGTGGTTGGGGCTCTGACGCTTCAGTCTGTTTTTTTGTTCTCTCTTGAAATTTAAAATGCAGTGGGTGACTTTGAAGTCTTTTTAATTTCTCATACTGTAAAGAAGTTTTGTTTTGTCTTCTGGGTTCTAGTGGTTCAGTATCTGCTATTCTCTCTATCTCTCTGATGGGGGTGGTTTTCATGGCTCCAAGAACAATCCTTAATCCCATATTCTGAACCTTGTCCTGTTTTCCCATTGTTGTCTTGGCTGCTGCAGCCCATGCAGTGGAGGCATATTCCATGACTGGCCTGACTTCTCCAGTATATACT